ACCGGCAATATAGCATTTTGATTGGTTGATTTTAGTTATTGGCCCTTTGACTGCCCGAGTCGTGTAATAATTTGGTTTTATTAACTGAGTTATAACGCAAATTTGCCATCATAGAGAGATATCAAAGGTGACGTTTCGAGCCTTAGCCCTTCGTCAGTGCTTGGGGTGTGTTGCATGAAGCATGCTGCGAGTTATTTGAATGGGCAAGCGATGAATAATTCAATCGCTCCTTCAAGTTTTCGTTTCGCTGTTTTACTTTAAGAACCAAAAACGAGTACGCCATATCCGTTGACGACAGCGGCTTCACTGTCTCCTGGTAAGTTACCACTCTTTAACCTTTTCATCCAATATCAGTATGCATATTCTCCATACTGTTCTCTATGCATTTCCTAAGGTGCTAACAAGGAGAATTTGTTTAACGATCAAGAGCTTACTATTAGTGTAAGGAAAAATTAGATGCTCGTACGCGTCACTCTTTATTTATGGTCGAAGGGTTAACGCGTATCTGGTATCTCGCCAGAAAGTTAAATACCAGAGAACTAACAGTTTAATCTTTTAGAATTAAATCCTTCAAAACCGTAGTTTGAACTTCCACGCATCTGTATGATCCCTCTTCCGTTTAAAGAATGTTCTAGATACAGGATCATTAGTGATGCGGATCGTTCACAAACCTACAAGTACACTAATGTGCAAGACGCCAAGCCCATCTGCGACCGAAGGCTGCCCAAGGCATGGTACCGATTTACAGGATTGGCGGGAGACAAGATGTCACATCAATGTGTCTCTCCCTATCACTGTGGTACCCATGCCCCCGGATGGCTGCTCGGAGCCCATCCAGAGGTATCTGACGGAGTAGTAACAAGAACGGTGTGTTTCAGCTGGCGAAACAAATGCTGTAGATGGCGCAGTCAAATCTCAGTGAGAAATTGTGGTGATTTTTATGTGTACAAGCTACAAAGAGCACCGAAATGTAAACTGCGCTATTGTAGTGTTGGTAAACCAGGTTCTACAACAACGCCAAGGCCAACAATGAACCCAAATCCTACAACAGTCGGTAAGTGATGACGTTATACTATGTGGTTTAATATGTTAACTGACGGTTATAACGAAGTGGGCGCAACAGCCTGTGAGGGCTAAGGGAAATAACCGAGCATCCGACAAGAACGCAGAGTAAACTCTTTAATCATCTCTAGCTGAGTGCGCATGAACATGAACTAGGCGCGATTCCTTTTTGTCTGTAGAGAAATTCAGTTGGTTTTCTGGACCAATCACAGAGGTAAGTGAGGCGAAACTAATGTAATGGCTTCTTGCTTTCGACCTTTCACTGAAAATGGGTCCGTTGCTGGAAAACGACCAAGTTGAATTTTTTTTTCGAGCACTGCTTATTGACTCCCTGATCAGGCAGGATAAACGAGAAAAAAAGAACGAAAGAATTAACGAAAGATAGAAAGAAGAAAGGAAAGAAAGAAAAGAAAATAAAAAAAAAAGGAAGCGTTCAATCGATTTTCAGGGTGCACAGAAAGTTGTAAATAGCCAAATATCATCACTCAATTACGTAGTAGGCCAAAAAGTAATTATATACAACTTTAGATGATAGTTTTATTCAAAATACAAGATGAAACAATAATACAGTTATCATCATTTATGAGTACAACTTTCTTGTCATGTCAGACTTGCTGTGGTTTTACAGGCAGAATACTTAGAAGATCTGAGCATCTTGATTGCTAAGATCAGCTTCTGCAAGTCCTGAATGAACAAAAAGAGATAATCATGGTCTTAGTTAGATACGTGTATTGATCTGGCTGGGTATTAGCAATGCTACATTGATATAAACAGTCAAAGAAATTTTCAAACGAAATGATAGAGAACATGAGTACAAAACTTCTTGGGTGTAACTTACATAGGCAGTCATGTCATGTCAAACTTAAACAATTGCAAGTGATACAAGTCAAAACGCATTTTTTTTTTTCTTCCGAACATTAAAAGCTATAGAAGTTAAATCCAAATTTCGACTGCTGAACTGCTGAATTGCACACCCAGCAATAACTATACACATACCTGTTGATCTTGTTTAGGACACTTACCACTTTTCAACAGAAAGTACAAGTTCTTTTGCAGTTTGTGTAAAGGAAAGCAATATTTCTGACACCTGAACAGCGAGGGACTAAAATCGCACACAAGCGAGGTTTAAGATCGATACAATCTAAAAAAAAAAAGGGTTGTATGCAATAATTAGCAGGACTGTCTTTGTGTTGTTATAGTGCTTACCTCGAGGCGCACTAGTTTCTACAATAACTAATGGTGAAGTAAAATAAGAAATGAAAAATGAACTATTCTGAAACTGAATGTTATCGTTTCAGTGAAATAGCGCAGGGTAACTCTCGATTTTTACTTGTTGTTTCTGTACACAGTAAACATATTAAATTTAATTTGCAATTGCTTACTAGAGGTTCGCGAGACTAGCGGCTAATTTTCTTCTTATAACTAACTATTCCAAGGATATTTTAAAGGAATGTCACTCACCTTATATTTTCAAATTTTGTTCTGTTTTGTTTCATTTTTAACGTAACGAAAATGAATGATCTGATTGCTAGGCGAAATCACCTAAGCGTATCAACTTTGGTAGTAGGTTTAAACAGAGAGAAATTAAACTGAAACTTTAAAATAGAATTAAAAGCGGTTCACGGGAATAAAAACGAAAACTGGAGTGAAAAAGCACCCACAATATATGACTCTAGCTATAAAGATTTTCTCTCCACCGCCTGCTAGGCACGTTCTATCAAAAAGGAAAAATATCATTTAAATTACCATCGTCATAGCTGAGATCGGCAGATTCTTCTTTCTGGATTTCTACATTTGAAGTGGCGTGCTTTGACATGAGAACTATTATAAAAAAAACTCCGAGGAAAAATTGGATCTTAAACATACCTAAAAAACTAGTTGACAAGGTGCAACGCAACGATCATAAATAGAATTTGCAGTGTGACTGAAGAAGAAAGCTTTGTTTCTTTTATAGTTCGTTGGCTTCTCTTGGTTTAGATAATATGTACTTTGGTTTAAATAATATGTAATTTGTGGTAAAGTCTTCTTGTTCACATGTGGCATGCCAATTTAGACGAAAGAGATTCCACACGCATCTGGCAGCTGGCAAAGAATGTACTTTTTTTATCCACTTTTGCCACAAAAGCGTGATCTTTTCTTGGCTTGCGTTTTGTTAAAAGTTAATATGGTGTACTCAACAATCGGACTATACTTTGTAACGATATTTCGCCATAACACAACAAATTTCTTGCAAACGTTTGAGATCCCATCGCCATATTGGTTATTCAAAACTATCGCACATATTATGTGATGATATTAAAATTTAAGTCAAGGATTAGATTTACTAGATATGAAAGAGATGCGAACAATTATTTTCATTTTATTTTGTGGTAAATACCAAAACCACCCGACCTGATCGAAAGATAATAAAAATTCGCCGCTATCCTGGTGTCCCAAGTCTGCTGGTTTTTATCTATAATCATCAACTCCTCTTTCGGGCGATATCAAGATTTGTTTAATTAATTATTGAACCGAGCTATCTTGTGGGTCAGGCGGTTTATGAAACAAGCGGGAGGATCATAAGTCAAACATGACTGAGAAAGAAAGTAAATACGCTTTTATTTAGCCGTGTTTGCGAGGGATCGGTAATGGGTCTGTGATACCAGTAATCTGTTTGTCTGGTGTACACCGGAAAAAAATTGCTTTGTAAGGATTTGAACTCATTTTATAAAAGCCATGATTTGTAAATTTCAATACTATTGAAAAACTGTCGCTTTCAGTAAGTTTTGGTAAAACTGTTTTGTTGTCATACTGACTTCTCGCGCGAGGAGGAGAAATGGCACAGAATAGATGAAGGAGGATCTACAGATCTGCAGTGATCCTATCGTGAACAATGAGTTGCAAAGAATTTGCGAGCACGCCCTCTTTATTAGCGGCTGCGGAAGCGCATTTTTCAGCGAGCGGGAAAAATTGAGACGAATCGGGGAGAGGTTTGCCGGGGGGGGTCTGGCACTAACAATCAGCGCTAACTCTCGCCGTCTCTCGTTCCGGAAGGCTTCCTTCTTTTCAGCGGTTAAAGATACGCCGCCGCGCTAATAATAAGCGCTTTCTTACAGGCTAAATAAGGAACACGATTTGTAGAGCTGCGCAGCCCGGAGTAGAAAAGCGATATTTTATTTAACGAACCTGACTCCTTTCTTTTGTTTTCCGTCGTTGTATCCTTTTTGAAATCATCATTATATCTATGTCTTGTGCATCCACCGACGAACTTCTTTAATTACCTATTTATCTATTTACTTATCCACACAGCAGCCAAACGCCCGTTTATCGTTTTATGTTTCCCGCAAAGAATACCCAGCAGGGACGAGGCGTTCCCTTACAAATGCAATTACAAACGTCTTGATTCTGTCGAGAATGTGCTGAACAACTTTCAACGGCTCCAAAAGCGAAGAGGTGTGGTGGAGAAGCGAGGCCAAGGTGAGCAATATAATGGCGTCTTCAGGTATGAGTACGCGGACAAAATAATGAAGCAAGCTCGACAAGTTTATTTAATCATAAGTACTCTGGTGATACCACGACGGCAAAGGTAAAGAGAAAAACGGGAACAAAAGTACAATAATTCATGTACTTTTTATTTTAGCTTATCCTCCATTCATGGTGATGTGTTTAATCGACTCTATGCACGTGTTCATTCCACGAAGACATCTGCCTCGCTCAGTAGATCCCTGGCGACTTCGCCTCGATGATGTGCAATGCGGAGTGGTACAAATGAATGATGAGCATGTCATGCTTAAAACACCGCTGGACGGATGCGGAACAACTCGCAGGTACAATTGTGTTTGAATGAAGAACAAAGAGGGGTTAGAGTCTATAATTAAAGCGGTTTTAGACGGGTGAATGAGGAAGAGAAAAATTTTGCCTCCATCCTTTAATGAGCACGATTTGTACTCGTACACTTTCAAAACTTACGATTTTATTCATCAAAAGTATGGCGTTTCTGCCCAAAGGATAGCTCCACAATAAAAACTATATATTTTTTTTCAAGAGCACTCACTGACATTAACCGGATGGTACTTTCGTTTTGAAGCTCATGCTTTGTCTAAAAATTATGTAGTTTCCACACCATGGACAAACTTAGGAATTCCGAAAGCCGTCTAAATTTTCTCTCAAAATGGTGCTATTTTATATTCTTTTTTCAGAACCTACGAAAAGTCAATTTCATTCCACAACAAGGTCGTGACTCCGTCTGGAATGAAATTTTTAGATCTGCCGTTCCAATGCAGCTACAAAGTTCTTGCTTCGGCTAAGGAGCTTAGCCGCCTAGAACCATTCCTCAGTCGAGAAGAGCTGGGGCCAAATCAAGGTGAGAAGTGGCACCTCCAGTAAGGAAGGAGAAAACAGGGGAAAAGCCTAGTACTATTCAGGCAGACCTAGAGAGTTCTTTTTAAATATTTCTTTAATTCCAGTTGGGTGAAGGAAGGCAATGCATGACCCAGTACTTCACCTCCTCTCAAAAAAAAAATAAATAAATAAATAAATAAAAGGTAGAAACACACAAGCTCAAGAACATACCAACAAACTGACTTACAATCACGAGAAAAGCAGTTTATTTTCCCAAATTTTTCCTTTTTATGTTTCAACCCGTACAGCCAAAGTGCGCAAAGGCCTTGGTTAAGGAAGACCTGCTCCATACCAAAATTACTTATAGGATGTGTGAAATGAGTCAAAATCCTCAAGTTTGACCTTTCTCCGTTGTGCGCGCTTTTCCTTCTCCTAGTCTTACCCGTCCAGTCTCGATTAACATGTATTCCTAATAAATAGCTTATTTTTCAGGCCCAAGCTCCATTCCTTTGGAGAAATGAAACCTACTGATGACATACAAAGCCACTGGCTAGGAATAACCCAACAAAATTTCAAGAGAAATTAAGAACAAAGATATCGTAGAAAAACCATGATCACAAACTTCAGAAATTCCCATCAAGCTAGATCAGGGCCTTAAAGTTGTATGTATTATTTAGGATTTTTGAGTACTTTTAGTCGTAGTTTTTCGCCAGGTTTTGTTTCGACTGTAAGTATTATTTTGGAGGAATATTATCCACGTGTTCGTAGCACTTTAATTATAAATAAATACAATCATCAAGTTGTACGGTTTTTGTGTTTATATCAACATCAAAAAGTTCCCATCACGGCACTGCTTAGTCAAGATTGAACTGTTCCGTTCTCTGAGTCAGTGGAGGCGAAACTTCTTTTAATTAATTTTAGTCATTTCAGTTTTTTAAAAAGAGAATATAGATCCCAAAATTGCTTTTAGAGCAAGCTAGAAATTTTTTTCAATTCACTATTTTCGATACTCGCATAATATTTTAAGAAAGATTTCCCAACAATTCAATTCTACTTTATGGTTTTTTTTTTTTTTTTCAACATACCTATCAGGGTAGCAGGAGGACACTCTTCTAAATTAAAAAAGCTTTATTACGAATTCAATTCAATTAACGACCTAAAATAATATTCTATCTTTAAGTATTTATATTAATGCTATTCCAACCTCAATTTGTTTTGTATTAGTCCGAAATTGTTGGAGCGAAAGTTCATATTCTGTGTGGTTCATTTACGCTGTAATTTATGATTTGATTCCTCAACTTTTTTAAAAATCGAATTGATTGCATGGACTTGTAATTTTGGGAGAACCGAAAGAAAGCCAAGAGGTAATGAAGGAATCTCTTGTCATAAGGGGAGTTTAACAGGGAAGAACAATGATGGGTATCGGCTGATATCATGGGCGTGTATTGCAACATGGAGGTGCAGCAGACAATTAAGAAGGTGAATGCAGTTTTCGGGGATTAACCCATGACGAGAGATATGGGATTGACAATCAAGGGAAATATGACGAGAGATATGGGATTGACAATCAAGGGAAATATGACTACCGGGGTATAAATAATCAACACGGTAATCAGGTGAAAATTGCGGGACCACGAGGCCAGTCGAGGTTCGTGCACAGAGCCAGTCTCTCGTGTGTTCATTTGTTCATGGTGTTCTCTATGTACTCGTCCACAGCCTCTTCCAGCGTGTCCAGGCCCATTGGTCCAGCCGACAGAAAAACTTGGTGATAATCTTTGATATCAAATTTATCACCTGAAATAGACACAGTGCACAAGCCGTTTACATATTGTATTCAAAGGCGGCTAGGTAAAAAAGGGAGGGGCGGGCATATCAGCTAAAAAATGCTCAAAGGCTGACGAAAATGATTAGAAAATGGCCACTAAATCGATTTATTGCCGTAAAAGAATTAAGCTCTCCTAAGAGAAACCAGTCGATGCAATACCCAAATGATTTTAACAGACTACTCACCAAAACGGTGGCGAGAAATAAGAAATTACGGATTCGGGATTTTCTCAAAACACGACTTCAAACTCTCATGATTAGGATCGATTAACGACCGCTGTTCAAGAAATGAACATTCGCTCCCCTATATTTGACTCGGATAGTTAGCCCTCAGATCATTAGAGCAAAATGGTTTACAAGGAGGTTTAGTTTAGCTGACATTCCATACCTAGTTTCTGTTCTGCTTTCCTTCGTAATTCCCTTATCTTGATTTCGCCCACTTTGTAAGCACACGCCTACAACAAAGTATCCACAAATTATCAAATAGTAAGCGGCTTTAGTGCAAAGAACAAAACGTTACGTTTAACTGTAGTGTACTGGAATATTTAAGACTCCAAAGGCAAGAGTAGTTTTAAAAAGGCAAGGGTAAAGTAAAAGAGTAAAGAGTAAAGCAAAGGCAAGAGTAGTTTTAATCCTTCAGTGTACAACAAATGTACAGAGAGATTATATTACGAGGCACTACTAAGAGATATAACATACCTGACCAGGCCATATGATGTATCGATCAATTTCTGTGTTCACATTATGAAAAGACATGGCAGTATTTTCCACCATAAAATCTACTGCCTGTTGTCGACTCCAGCTAAAATGTGAGAAAATTGAACAGTTCCATATCACCGACAGTAAATTAGCGCGATTTTCTGCGCGTGCTCAATC